ATCTGAGGCACAGCTCCCCACTAGTCCCATCTCAGGAAAAAGAAGGGACACCTGAGACAAGGTGAGCCATTGCGGAGTTGGGGCACCTTGCCCGACACACGTTATCCAGGGTAAGTCCCACCATGCAAGCAAGGGGTCAAACCCTGGAGACCCTCCTTCTCACTCACACCAAGGGCAAGCATTGTTTTTCAAGACCGTGTCAGCAGAGGCCTGTCCTCTCCAGGGATGGCTCAGGGCTCCGCAGGTTGAAAGGGGCCGTGTTTGCATGATTCCCACGCGGTCTGCACCCATCTCTCCAGAAGAGGGAGGCTGGAAAGCGTTGGCAGGGGTGCAGACGACTTGGTTTTTAAAACGAGGCCAAAGCTTTTCACTCACTCCCATAGGCAGAGTGACCCGCTGTGGAGGTTTGGCTGAAAGGAGGTAGTGACATCAGTGCTGCTCCCCACCCCTCCTGCCTGGAATCCCCCTGCCACCCCGCAGGCCCTTGGTCTCTGATTTCAGGTTCGCCCCTGCTCTGTTCCACGTCTCCTGCAAGCAGACAAGCGTGAAGCCTGCCCTGGGAGGCGGCATGAATAATAGAACTGAAATCATCCCTGGTTAAAAATAGATATTCTTCTTAATAAATATTTTACATACTGTCTTTAGGACACACAGATTCCCTGACTGAAGAGTTAAAGCAAACCCTGTTATTGAACCCAATGGAAGCAGGAAAGGCTTAGCCCAGCTCTGCGAAGCGTGTTCCTGTGGCGGCAGCTCGGCTCAAGTCCGCCCACTCGGCAGCCACCACTGATACAGGCGGCAGCCACCCTGGAACCGCAGAACCTGCAGCCGGGAGCGGCTTGGAAATTCTCGGGCGTTTTCGTCACCTGTGAATTTTATGCAGGCAGATGGATTATAAAATGCCCTTGGTTAGTGAGGCTTGGAGTCCAGACAAGTCCAAAGCAGGCGCTCGGGTTTCTGCTATGTATCAGGCCTCCGCCGTGAGCAGAGCAGGTGTCTGGGGGCTGCGGTGGGCCGGGAGAACGCTCGGTGGGAGGCAGAGGCAGTGGGAGTCCGCAGCACTGGCCCATTTCAGAAAACTTTGCAAACACAGAACAATCTTGAAGGTCTGCACTAATTAGGACATGACATGATCTAGAAATGTCAAACGGATTTGAATTGTCTACAGATGGATCTTGATGCTCTGACCCCACCTCCTTCACCATGGGCCTCCCCTGGAGGGCAGGGGCAGGCAGGAAGTGCTGGGGGCTTCCCAGCAAGCAGACCACTTGCAGGTGACTTCCTTCTGCAGCTGGAGAGGCTGGAAACTGGGTACTGGGGGTACAGGGTGCTGGGCCAGGACCGAGGGCCACACGAGGCTCCAGGGCCCACGTCTCAGGTGGGCCCCTCTGTCTGGAGCCACAGCCCCACTGTTGAGTCAGTTTTTCAGTGCTGTGACTAAAAGGACCCCATCAGAACAACTGTAGAGGAGGAAAAGTTTATTCCAGGGCTCTGCTTTTGGAGATCACAGTTTGCAGAAGGCAGGCTCCATTCCTTCGGGCTCTAGATGAGGCAGGACATCAGGGTGGAAGAGTGTGGCAGAGGGAAGCAGCTCACACCATGATCAGAAAGCAGAGTCAGACTCCACTCACCAGATACAAAATACGTGCCCCAGAGCCACGCCCCGAGGAGCATTTCCTCCAGCCACACCCCAGCTGCCTCCAGCCACCACCCAGTTAATCCCATCAGGATTAATTAGCTGATTGGGTTAAGGCTGTAACGCAATCATTCCTCCTCCAAACCTTCCTGCGTTGTCTCACAGGTGAGCTTTTGGGGACACCACATCTAAACCGTAGCACCTACATCCCAGCTGTCCTGCTGTGGGCCTCTGTGGCTTCCTTGGACTGAGCACAGAGGCCCCTCCGTGAGGACCTGCTCGGAGGAGAGGCCACCGGCTCCCTCTGTGCCCGGCAAACCTTGAGGATGTTTAGGTTTAGAAGCCAGCACCTTGGGCGGCATGCAGGGCTGCAGGTTTGTCTCCTCTCCCTGGCCTAGCGCTGGCCGGGCAGAGGGCTGGTGGGCATGTGGACACTTGGGTGGACCCTCGGGGGGACGCTCAGATGGGAGAGGCGTGTGTGTTAGACTGCGGTGGTGGAGCCGGTCACGGAATGCAGTGGGGGCCGTCACCACTGTGGTTTCAGGGATGCTCAGGTAGGTGGTGACCTGTTTGACCCCCATCTCTCCTGCCGGAAACACCCCAGCTCCTGAATTCCTGACTCTGGAAAGACTGGGTTTAGGAGCCAGGAAGGAGAGGGACTGTCCCAGACCCATGGAGGATGGACAGTGGAGGCCACAGAGGAGGGGCCAGGCGTTGCCCACATGCGCAGAGGCTTCGAGGAGGATGGTTGCCGGGAACCGTGTGGAAGGCCATGGGGTCTCCCCCGGCCCCTCCAACAAGCCCACGCTCGTGCGCTGGTCCCCAAGCTCAGTCTGCCCCTGGGTCCACTAGGCACCCACTCTGGCGCACAGGCTCGGGCTTGGCGGGGAAAACAAGTCAAGGGTAAAACACAAACGTGAAAAGGGCTGGGGTCCATCCTCAGCACCACATAAAATACATATATAAAATAGAGATATTGTGTCCATCTGCAACTAAAAATATTTTTTAAAAAATGTGGGGAAAATGAAATAAAAATGAAGGCATAAAATTACGTCAACAAAGGGATATTTAAAAAATCCACGCCACCTAGGTGTACTTGTTTTAGTTTTTTTTTTTTGGACCAGGTAAGGGGAAATTATGAGATGTTTTCATTTCTCTGTGATTGCACAAACTCTTAAAATATTAAACTATTGCTTAATAATTGATTAAAACTAATCTCAGTGGGAGCCAATCACCCATTTGGCAGGATCTCGTTAAACTTTTAGGGGCTTTTAGCTCCCCTTGGCTCCTAACCTTTCCCTTGTCTGATTCATTCAGGGATCAGCAGACGTCCTGCCTCTGTGCGATTGGGAGGTTGTGCTGTTGGCCGGCTGCATGGAACTGGATTCAGAGAGAGGAAGCGTCCAGGGACGGCGCGTCTGAAGGGTGGTGGGGAAACAGGAGGATGGCTGGTCACCTCTAAGACTCAGACGGGAATCAGAGAACCCTCAGAACCGCTCAGCTCGTCCGGCCTGAGTCTGTCCACACGATGACGTGTCCCCTGCCCCTCCACTTTTCCCAGGATCACTGAAGACATTAAGCAACGTGGATCAGAACACAGGCTTGGCATCAGAGGTTCAGAACTTGCTGGCTGGATACTTCTTGTACAGCTTGAGCAAAGGTTGTCCCCCTCTCTGCCTCAGTTTCCTCATTTCTACAACGCGGATGGCACGTGTAGAAAGGCACAGGCAGGTCTGCTGCATTCACGCACTGTTGCTGGGCAGGGCTTGACATGCATTCATTCTGCTTACTAAGGGCTCAAGGGGGTCTCTGGATTTAAAAACGACTTGGGGGCTGGGATGTAGCCCAGCATTCATGGGGCCCTGGGTTCTATCTGAAGCACCGCTACCAAACCAGACAAAAAACCTGCTTAGGATTTTAGGGGCCTTAGAATAGGGGGCAGTTATATGAACAACTGAGGCTTCCAGCACTAAGCACAGTCTCCAAGAACACTTGTACACCTCTGTCCTCAGCAGGACTCTTCCCAATAGCTAAAAGGTGGAAGCAACCCAAATGTCCACTGACAGATGAGTGGATAAACACAATGCCATCTTCCCAGGACTTAGGTACAGCTCAGGGGCAGAGCACTTGCCTAGCATGCAAGAAGCCTTGGGTTCTACCCCAGTACAGGGGGAAAAAGTGGTTAATCCATACAATGGAATATTACTCAGCCTTAAAAAGGAAGAATGGTGCCTGTGATCCTAGTAACATGGGAGGCTGAGGCAGGAAGATAACAAGTTCAAGGCCAGCTGGGCAACTCAGCAAGACTGTCTCAAAATAAAATAAAAAAGGCTGGGGACATAGCTTAGTAATAGAGTGTGCCTGAGTTCAATCCTCAGCTCCAAAAATAAAAATAAATAAGCAAAGGGCTGGAGATGTGGCTTGGTGGCAGAGCACCTGGATTCAATCCCCAGTCTCACAGAAGGAAATAAAAAGAAATGTTCTGTTGACTCCCTGCAGTGGCCGATGAGGACTTTGCTCACTCAGTTTATTACTCTGTTTTTAGTTCCTCCATGGATGACCTTCTAACTGGGACCTCTGTCCTGGGTCTGGCCTCCTGGGTCACCTTCTTGCTCATACCCAGGCTTTTGTCCAGTCCTGGTGAGTCTTGTGGGGCAAGGCATGTGGGGCAGGGCTGGGCACCGGAGGCTGTGTGCTCCAGGGCAGTGGGCAGAGCCCTGGAGACCAGAATCACAGTGGCTTTGGGGGTCCCCCATCACCCAGACCTTGATGCCTCCATTTCCAGATAGGGAGGCTGGTCCACACCCACAAGGAAGTTAATGGCCAGCACCCAAATGTCCCAAGTCAAGAACCCAGGCCCGTCTGCAGGGCCTCAGCCACAGCCCCAGTTCCCTCCACCCTCCGGGCTGCTGCTCTGAGAGGCCTGCAGCCCTCTGTGTCTGAGACCCCGTCTGCACTTACCACACTCACGCCCCAGGGCTGCTGCAAGCAGCTTTGCCACAGTCCAACAGCTCAAGCGCTCCCCCCCCCCCCCCCCCGTCTCTCTGTCTGTCTGTCTCTCTCTCTCCCCCCACCTCTCAGAGCCAAGGTGGCTCCCTCCAGGTGACCAGGACAGGAACCATGCTCTCCTCTGCTCAGGTGGGTTAATTACTTGCCCTGGAGCCCATGGTGAGGAACAGTCCAGGGGCAGTGGTGCACACCTGGAGCCCCAGCTGCGTGGGAGGCTGAGGCAGGAGGATGGCTTCAGTCCAGGGGTTTAAGGCCAGCCTGGACAACATAGCAAGACCCTGTCTCAAAACCACAACTACAAATATTAAACAGAGAAAAGCTCAGAGAGAAATTGACCTAAATCTGGAGGGTTATGGGCAATTTTTTCCTTTCTACATTTTTTTTTTCTAGACACTCCAAACCTCCCGTAATGAGCAGTGAACAGACTGTAGATTCCTTGCCGTCAGGCGCCACCAGGTCAATTTTTTTTTTTTTTTTTTTTAAACTGGGGATTGAACCCAGAGGCACGCTACCACTAACCTACATCCCAAGCCCTTTATCCATCGATTGATTTATTTACTTTTGAGGCAGGGTCTTACTAAATTGCCTGGACTGGCCTTGAACTTGCCATCCTCTCCCTCAGCCTCCTGAGTCAGTGGGGTTACAGGCGTGGCCACCCACCGCACACCCTCTTCATTCTGTAGGTGAATAAGGGAACGTGGAGCTTGCAGTGGAAAAACCCAACACAAGTTATTTAGTGAAAAGCATTAACTTTCCCTAGCGTCAAGGTTGGAGCCACCCAGGAGGGCCAGGCTCCGCAGACCGGAGGGAGGGCTGGTCTGTGCAGCTGACGTCAGGGGCTCGGGACCCAGGTCCCCAGGTCCGCTGCAAGGCCTTATCACCTGAGGCCTCTCAGGAGGAGTCACAAACAGGGAACTCCACCTGCTCAAGATGCTCCTGAGCTTCTCACTGAGGCCGTGCCCTGAGGCTTTGCCAGCAAACACAGGCCAGACCCCTCTGGGGAGCGTCACAGTCCCCGGTTTCCTGTTGCCCCAAACAAGGCAGCCTCCTGATTAGCAGGAGATGTGAGCCTCCCCAGGCCTGGGAGGCCGAGGCAGGAGGGCAGGCACACAGACCTGCTTGGGAAGGGATGCAGTGGCCACTCTGAGTCCAGAAGGGTTGGGGCTTTTCTCACGTGCTGCCATGTCAAATTTCAGTGTCAAATCACAGAATTTTCATGTAGGGTGGCCTTCTGTCCATCCTGTCCCTTCATTTTAGACAGAAAGCAGGAGACCTGGGAAAGACAAGCCCAGCCACTCTGTGGCTCTCTGGGATACCCTGGTGGCTTGTCAGGCAGAGTGGCTGCATTAGTCCGGGTTCTCCAGAGAAATCAAAGACAGGGTGCTTGCAACACACAGATCGGTCTTCTTAAAAAGAACCTGCGCACCTGGTCACGGAGCTGGCAAGTCTGGATCTGCAGAGCAGATCTGCAGAAGTGCATGTTTCAGTCTTGAGATCAAATGCCAACTGAATTCCTTCCTCTTCTGGGAAACTCAGTCTTTGTTCTTCAGGGCTTCATCTGATTGGATGAGGCCCACCCACACAGAAAGGGATCATTTTACACAGTCTACTGACTTAAGTTAAATTCATATAAATAACACCTTCATGTAAATTTCTAGATTGTTCTTTGACCAAATAACTAGGTACCATATCATGGCCAAGTTGACCCACAAAATAAACCATAACAGTAGTGCCATCTGCTCCTTCTGGGACATTTGGTACCTTGGGTCCTCCCTCTTCAGTACCAGCAGTGTCCCCATCATGTAACAATCAAAACCAAGCTGCCACCCCACTTCTGCATGACTTCTGGGGGTGCAGAGCTCTCCCGGGTGAAAGGCTTTCATGAAGGGGCCGGAAAGCCTTGGCGTCCACCTAGGACCCTAGGCTCTGCCTGGCTTCTCTGCTCAGCTGAGTGTTGAACGTCTCAAGCTAAGGGGACGGCTTCCCCCCGTCCTCGAGAGAACAGTGGGTACTGGACTGGGGATGAGGCTCAGTGGCAGAGCAATTGCCTTGCATGCGGGAGGCCCTGGGTTCAATACAGAGAGAGGAGGGAGAGGGGCGCAGGGAGTCCTGAGTCCACAGTGGGGCCTCATGGGACATCTGGGTCTAACTTGCCTGATGTCCAGTCCGTGGGTCCCCAGCTCTGGCTGCCTTTGATGAACAGCCTCAATAATGGGTTTGGAAACTGGCCCAGAAATTAGAGATTTCTGTAATAATTAGAGATCATTTGGGGTCCAGCTCCTGGGAGCTGTGGGAGGCTAAAATAGAACTGTCTCATGGCGTTCCCAAAGTGCCAAACCGGGATATTAGGATTCTGGAGGCTACTGAGTCCCTGCTGACCCCCGGTGCCTGTCCTTTCTAAAGGGTGATGTATGCGACTCAGCCTCAGGGCTGGTGAAGTGGGGACCTGTTTTTTAACCCTTGATATTTACCCACTTTGGTCAGTTCACCAGTCCCCAGGCTCAGGTTCGCTGAAGTAAATGCTGTGCCCTTTTCATAGAGCTGTCACTGTGTTCCCAGCTCCTGTCCCCCAGTGAGCCCTGCAGTGGGGCCTGCTGGCATGTGGGGCAGGGCAGTGCTTGCTGTGACAGTCACCCCGCTTCCTTCCGGTCCTGAGCCCCATCCCGGGGCGGGGGGTCGGCTCTGTGCTGGGTGGACACACAGCACTCTGCCTCCAGCTGCAGGCCGCTGTGGTTGGGCTGGACGATGCCCAGCGTGGGAAGGGGGAAAGGGGACAGAGGCCTGTGAGCACAGGTTCCTGCTCCTCCTCCAGCTGGCCCCACCCTTACCACCTCCTGGCCCCATCCAAAGGGAGAGGAGGCACAGAAAGGAAAAGGGGGAAAGGACCCCTGGGCTTGCTTCCCGCGTCACCAAGTGACAGGCCTGAATCCCAGTAATCACCCCGGTAATCTGCTGTCCAGAGCACTTCCATCAGTGGTCACCAGGCTGGATGCTTCCTATGGATGGTGTCACCTAGGAGGGTGAGGTAGGAGGCCGCAGCCCACTGCCCTCCCCTCTCTCCCTGTTCCCCTCTCTCCCTGTTCCCCGCTCTCCCTGTTCCCCGCTCTCCGTCACCTAGACCCGGAGTGTGTCTTAAAAACGTGGCTTCGGTGGGTGAAGCACCACGTCAGATGTCAACCTCTCAGTTCAGACGTGTCGAAAGACTCGGCTCAGACCAGAGTTCCACTCCATCACTTCCAGGTGATGGAAGCAGGTCTTCAAGCGTATCTGTGACCCACTCATCCAGGACGAGGTCCAGAGCTCAGGGGCAGCCCCTGACCCTGTGGCTCAGAGGAGACCTGCAGAAGGAGGCCTGCGACCTTCACCTCCTGGCTACGGGGACGGCTTCTCTAACAGAGCCTCTGCTCTTCTGTTCCCACCTCTGGAGAACCCAGAAAGGGCCCTTCCTTCTAGAGGATCCGTCAAGAGATTTCGTGAATCAATGAGCTCGCCTAAAAACAGAGTGTGAGTTTGAAGGAAGAAAACGGCTCCTTTTGCGGGTATGATTCTAGGTAGGTAGTCAAAGAACTCTTATTTATATCATCTAATTTTATTTTCACAACAGTCTTATGGGATTAGTAGAAAAAGAACTACCCTTACTCCATTTAACAAAATAAGTTACAAAGCT